GCTATCGATTTCCCATGTGGGCTTCGAAACGTGTCTGTTGACAAAATCAGGGCGTCACGCCCTGACTTGGGCAATGTGGGTTCACTGGAAGTCCCGACCCTTTCCCCGGGACCGTTTTTTTCATTCTGAGTCGTCTTTTGACGGCCCCAAGGCCCGGCGAGGGCTCCCAGGGGCCGAGAACCGTCAAGAAAAAACCCTTCCTGATTTTTGCATGCTGCGATCATGTCTGAGGCGCCGTCAGGGGACGGCGACGCGTCCGGCTGGAGGAGGCGGAGGAGGTGGCGGGGAGGGAAGGAGGAGAAGGAGGAGAGGGAACGAGGAGGAGGCGGAGGAGACAGAGGGGGAAGGAGGAGGAAACGGAAAAGGAGGAGGAGGAGGAGGTTCGCCTCTAGCTGGTCGAGCGTCAGAACGTCAAGAGGAGGAGGAGGAGGAGGAGGAGGAGGAGGAGGAGGAGGAGGAGGAGGGGAGGAGGCGGAGGAGGAGGGGGAAAGGCATCGGTCGGGGCGATCGCTCGACGAGGCCCGCAGCTCGCGGCTCGAAGCGCTCGCAGGTCGAGGGGGCCATCGCGCACTACTTCGACAGCGGCTGCGCCGCGCCGCCTGCCGGCTGGCAGCCGGGCGCGGCCACGTGACGGCGGTCGCGGCGCTGGCGCGGCCCCTGTCGCACGGCGCGATCGCTCAGCACGAACGAAATGGGTACAGAAGAAATGGGTGCAATGCCCAACAGCAGTTCCTGCTCATTTTGAGGAGGACTCGCTGTCCGCGCCGCCGCGGCCTGTACCAATTCGAGACAAACGGCCGCCTGCCCAACAGCGGGCGCTGTTGGTTTGGGACAACATTTGTTGTTGGGCATCGTACCCATCTCTTCCGTACCCGTTTCGGGCGTCCAGAATCGCAATGGGTACGGAAAGGGTGGGTTCTGAAGCAGTGGCGAAGCGACTTGGCTTGCCTATAGGCGCACCAAAGAATGTTCGACGAACCTGTTGTGGTTCGCGCGACATGTTCTTAGAACAGTCATGGCTGAGGCTGTCTTGTTTTATCACATCGCGTTTGTGTTCTAAGGGCAGGGTTTTTGTTATTAGAACTTTTTGGGGTTCTAAGAACATGTCGTGGTAGGCCTACCGGAATGCTGGGACGCTCGGTCCCTGCTCAAGGGTTTAGTAGCAAATCGTGGGAGCCTTCCGTACCTTGTGAATTCCGTCTTTAGCGTCGACTAGCGACTAGCGCCGATTCGCGCTTGGGAGTCGATAGGATAGGATAGCGCCGAGTTAGCGTCGGCTAGCGTCGACTAGCGTCGATTGGCGTCGATTTAGCGTCGATTAGCGTCGATGTAGCGTCGATCAGCGTCGATCCGCAAGAGCCAACAAGATGGTATGGGAGGCTCCCATGGTTGCCACCGAGAATGGGTACACATGCTGACAGCAGTTCCCAGACCCCCCCGGGTCATGAAAAAAGAATCTGAGTAGGGCATCGACTACAGATATGATGTATCCCAAGCTTGATTTTCCCGTCGAGCCAATGAACAGACAAATCCGCAGAATGTCACGCAGATCTAGGACATTCTACGAATGTGCATGGATTCGAGGAGAGTGCCAATTTGGGGGTACATCGATTCTGTACAGTCGGGGCCCTGAAGAAGGAACCCTTTTCGTTGGGGAGGGGCTCCGTGTTCCCTGATTCTTTCACAGCTTGCCTCAGGTTTTCCTTATGCTTTCGATGGGACGTCGAAGTTCAACTTATGGAAAAAAAAGGGGCCTCGTTCCTTATTTAGGGTTCCTTAGGTCAACGCCCCGACTGTATAGTCGATCCCCCACTCGACGAACGGCGGGAGGCTCTTCGCCACGGTCGGCCTCTTGGGGGGCCCTCCCCGGCCCCGGGGAACGCCAGGGCACGACGGGGTGAGGAGCCGGGCCCCGGGGATGGGACCCCTCTGGGTCCCATCCCCGGGACCCGTCGCGCTGGGGGTCCTCGGGAGCCTTGAGACGGGGGTCAATCCAGACGGGGGTCAGCCAGGGCGCCAGATCCTGCAGGGTCCTGCGAAGATTCCCTCTGGCTGACCCGGGTTAGGGAGCCGCTCGTGGCCGCGAGGCGGCCGCGCGTATTGGTTGACCCGGGTTCGCGAAGATCTGCGTTGCAGTTTTTTTGTCCTGCATTGCAGTTTTTGGTTTCCCGCTGACCCGGGTCTGGATTGACCCGGGTCAGAAGATCCCCGGGGTCCACGAACACGACGTGGGGGTATATCCCGCTGGGGGTCCACGGACACGACGTGGGGGTATCTGGGTTCTGGCCCACGGGGTTCGCTGTCGGCGTCGCCGCGGGCGCTGTCCATCCGAGACAGGAGGCCTCCGGGGGGCCCTGACTGGCCCTGGGGAACGTCAGAGAACGACGGGATGAAGAGTCGGTCCCGGGGAAGGGACCCATGCCGCCGGGGGTCCTCGAGCCTCGGGGGTCCCCAAACGGGGTGGTGACCACACCGTGCGGTGAGTCGGGGGGGATTCGAG